AATATTATTGTCCTATTGGATTCTAATTGGTAAACAAAATTATTCAAAATTTAGATAAAATTTATTCAATATTATTGTTGTGATCGCGCGATTCCGAAATATTGAATAAAATATACAATCTTAAATTTTACAGTGCGATAAAAAGTCGCCTAATCGGGTGAAAAAGTTGGATGGCACCCGATTAGGCGACAAATGCCACTACAAATCGTTTATTAAGCGACTTTTTTGTCCTTAATATCAATATTTTGAGTTTTTAATTAAGAGTGCACATTACGAATTCAATCAAAGACATAACAGAGATGTAATGTGTCGAAAAATGCGAAAAAGAGGGATATGTTTGAAAAAATTTGAATAATAAGCTGTGTGTCTAAAATTAATTCAGTTTTAAAGGGAATGATAGAGCTGACTACGACTTAAATCAAAGAAATAATATTTGACATATTAATACTTATATTCTATATATATTTAATAAATAATATTCTAAAGTAACAATCTACATGATTAATTTAACAATATTATCACATCGTCTTAGTAGCCATTATGAAAAAGTAATCACAATGAACTAAAATACAGTTACAAAATAACTGAAGCTTAAGCTGAAATCTAAAATCGTTTCTAGTAATTTTTTCTTTTAAATTTAGTCTTTCCTATCCTATACCAGATAGAGTAGGGTTTAACTAGATCAGGATTTAATAGGAAAATCTGGTCCAAAACATTCTCCTGTTAGGTTTGAACCAAATCCTTCTAAATCTTGATACAGCTCATCCCTGCTATATTTGGCATAGGAGAGGAAAGACTAAATTTAGACAAAAATTACTAGATACAATTCTAGATTTCAGCCTAAGCTTCAGCCTAAATCTGATGAAAAAAAAATCAACTTCAGTTCTTTTGTAACTGTATTTTAGGTTATAGTAATTACTTTTTACTGTAAGAGAGAAGTTAACCACAACCATTAAAGCTGGCAGGAGTACAGGTACTTAACCATATGCTCACAGTCGCTAAAATAAAAATATTATTAGTCTAAATCTTAAATGATCTGAAGCAGGGGGGTATATAGGCGCCAAGTAAAAGAAATCCCAAGGAGACTGGCACCACATAATTAGCATTATCGGTTGAAATTTGTTTTCACTACAGTGAAACCCTTAATAACGAATACATCGGAAGAATTTATCAAATGTCGTCTTGACAATTTTTCAATGAGTTTTATACTATATTTCGTAAATTTCAGTATTTGCGAAAATAAATAAATAGCCATGAATATGCGGGAACAGTTTTAAAGAGTTCCATATAATCATTTAATTAAAAAACTAAATATCTGTAACATTCCATTATCAGAAAGTGAAGAATACGACATTTTATGAATTCTTTCGATGTATTCTTTATTAAGGGTTTCACTGTATATACTTTGTATCAATTTTTATTAATATTTGTATCAAGACTTAACTTTTCCTTAACCCTATTCCTGCTGGGGGGGGGGGGGCAATTTGACCCCCCCCTGTAGTTTTTTTTACATAACTCAAAAAGCATTAGTCTGAGGCTGTTGAAATTTTCTGACTTTTCCTACATACCCAAAGCCCTCCCTTTAGGCCTAAACCAGGTTTTAATACTAACTGCCTGAGTCCTTAGGCACACTGCTTTTTCCTGTAAAAAACTAAATCTTTGTTTTGACCCACTTCCACTTGCGAAAAAAAATTGCAAATTTTTTGCAAACAACCTGTCAAAGAAAATTTGCACATTTTTAGTTTTTCTTGATTAAAAATCAGGTTATTTAAAATTTCGCAAAAATCTTTGCAAATTTGAAATGGCATAGTCAAGGGCTTTTCAAAAATGTAAAATTTTTTTTGCAAACATTTTTACTATATAACTGGATTTTACGATAAAAATTCAATTTTTGCAAATTTGCAAATTTTTTTCCAGATTCTAAAAGTAGAGCACAAGAGCTTTCCAATGATGTATCATTTGTCATATTTGGACATCAAACATGGGATTTAGAGGGGGGAGGGGTCAAATTTCCTGGTTTTCAAGTACCCCAGCAGAGATAGGGTTAAATAAAAGTGATAATCTTACATGAATATGTGGTGGATGTTGACGTAGAGAATGAAGTGGTGGTTAAAGTTGTTGTCATATAATACCAAGCAAACTTAGCCTCTCTTACACCAGTTTCAGCCTTGCTAGACTCTACAGGCAAGCTGTCAAAGTTCCTGAGAATATGATAAATTTTTTAAAATTCACTCATTATACATTACTTGGCCCAAAAAATAAAAAAACGTAATATAATAAGTAAAAATACAAAATTAAGGAAACTGATAAGATGATAAAATTGTGAATATTATTAATAGCTAGCTTTGCCTAGGGTACTCATAGTTACTACTGCCGTTTACCCGCACTTGGTGGTAAATTAGGATGTTAGCTATTTTTCTTGATAAAAGTCAACCCATTCAAGTTAGAATTTTTAATTTTGGCATTGCCTTTGAATTATACACAACTTGGCGTTGATTGTTAGGTACAGGTTTGAAAAAACGTGAACCATGCAGTGGATGGGGTTCATATCAATAAAATAAAGACGACTTTTTGATTTCTGAGAAGCTTTTTTTAAATTATAATTTTACAAGTGAAATAAGAGAAACTTTTGATTGACAGCTTCTCTTTGTTTCAATGTTTAAGTGTTTTTATGCTGTTTGAAAGATTGGTAAATATCAAAATTAGAATTGGCAGTCGTCTTCATTGTATTGATATATACGACGAAGACTGTAGTTTCACCTGGATGCTTTTGATACACGGATTGGTAATTCCAGATCAATTTCAAGTGGACCAGCCTCAACAAGACTTGAAGCTCTCTTGCGTCGGCCTGTGCACACTCCAGCTGGAACAGCGTTTGAGATCAATCTAAACAAAAATACCTTAAATATTAAAAACTTGGAATCCTGCAATATGATTAAAAATTCAAAGCTAAAATATCAAAGGTTAACGCCTTAATGGTGCAGAGATAAAGAGATTTTTAAATTGTTTGAGTTGAGTAATCATTTTCTCATTATCATTCTTTGCCTTGAATAAATTAATAAAATACAAAACATACTTACTGAAAGCAAGTGAGTGCAGTTGCTAGAGTTGATATTGTGGTGCCTACTGTAGTAGAAGTGGTGGAACTTACGAAAAATAGTTTTGGCGATCTGAAATAACAAAATGTTTATCGATCAGAAATAGAATCAGATCCTCAAGCTTATTCAGGAATAAACCTATTTTCTTTTTTAACCTTATTCATCCTATCCCAGTTGGGCTTTTTTGTCTGATATAAGTATCCCTGCAACTCCTGCAACTCCCCCCCTCTTCTTTAAATTGAGGGTGGAGATTGTGAAAAACGTCTAAATGTAGTCATATTTGTAAATTTTAGACAGCTAACTTAAAAAATTTAGGGGCTGGAGAGTTTTTAAAAAATCTTTCTGAACTACATCGGAAAAATATTTTGGCACACCACAAATTTTTGGATATCAAATAGGCGATTTTTTTTGTTTGTTTAAATTGGCGCATTTCAAAAATAATGATTACTTTCTTGTGAAAAATTGTTTAACTTTATTAACTATAAACATTCCTCGGGGCCATGTGAGTTGCCACGACAAATTTTGGTAAGATAAAAAATATTTAGATTTATCTAAATAAATTATCCCTTCAACTTGGATAGAAGGGTACTACTAAAATAGTGTTTTGACTTTTAAAAAAAACATTAAATGATTAATTAGACATTTGAGTTTTGATTAATTACAATTTATATGAAATTTAGGTGTTTTCACCCTTAAATGAACTTTAGGTGTTTTGTATCTTTGTGTGTTTTGGGAAAAAGGTGTATTGACATTTAGGCCTTTTAAAATTTGGACGTTTTAAATTTAATGTGTTTTAAATTTAATGTTTTGAAATTTAGGTGGTTTTGAATTTTATGTGTCTTGAATTTAAGTGTTTTGAAATTTAGGTGTTAAGTTAAGTTAAGTTAGGTGTTTTGCACCCAATCCATTTGCATGGCATTAACACATTCACACATTGGCATTGTCAAACAAAGATTTAAAGGGTGCATTGTTGAATTGTACATGCCATTTTATAAATTTACGAATTCCGAATTCCGAATAGTTTACCTAGCCGCTGCTTTTTCCTCAACATTGGTGGCTGCTACAGCTGCAAAAGCTGCTAAAGTCAATGAAAATAATATCTTCATTTCCTAAACAAGAATAATATCTAGGATAGTTTTTACTCAAATAAGAATAATATCTAGGATAGTTTTTACTCAAACAAGAATAATATCTAGAATAGTTTTTACTCAAACAAGAATAATATCTAGGATAGTTTACTCAAACAAGAATAATATCTAGGATAGTTTTAACTCAAACAAGAATAATATTTAGGATAGTTTACTCAAACAAGAATAGTATCTAGGATAGTTTACTCAAACAAGAATAATATCTAGGATAGTTTTTACTCAAACAAGAATACTATCTAGGATAGTTTACTCAAACATGAATAATATCTAGGACAGTTTACTCAAACAAGAATAATATCTAGGATAGTTTACTTAAACAAGAATAATATCTAGGATAATTTACGCAAACAAGAATAATATCTAGGATAGTTTTTACTCAAACAAGAATAATATATAGGATAGTTTACTCAAACAAAAATAATATCTAGGATAGTTTACTCAAACAAGAATAATATCTAAGATAGTTTTTACTCAAACAAGAATAATATCTAGAATCGTTTTTACTCAAACAAGAATAATATCTAGGATAGTTTTTACTCAAACAAGAATAATATATAGGATAGTTTACTCAAACAAAAATAATATCTAGGATAGTTTACTCAAACAAGAATAATATCTAAGATAGTTTTTACTCAAACAAGAATAATATCTAGGTTAGTTTACTTAAACAAGAATAATATCTAGGATAGTTTACTCAAACAAGAATAATATCTAGGATAGTTTTTACTCAAACAAGATTAACCTCTAGGAAAGTTTACTCAAACAAAAATAATATCTAGGATAGCTTACTCAAACAAGAATAATATCTAGGACAGTTTTTATTAATTTTTAGGCTCCATCAAAAATCTGTTTATCTTATTAGAATACAAAAAAGTAAGTTTTAAAGTTTCTTTTCTATTTTTTATAGTTAAAACGGTTTTAGTAAATTTATCAATCAATCATGCTTCCATTCGTTGTTTTTGCTTTATTTCTTTTGCCATTAAAGAAGTATTATGGAAACTTGTTAAAATATCACTTGAGCAGCTCTCGGCTCAACATTTTTCTAGACATATCTTAAATTCTAGTAATGCATCAGAAGAGCCAAAATGTTGAAAACCCAATCTAAAATTATTATCTCAAGATATTTAAGAAGAAAAAGAAATGATAGCTCAATGCAATATGAATAATATTGAATAATATTGAATAGTATTGAATAATGTAGAATAATATTGAATATCATTAAATAATATTGAATAATATAGAATAATATTGAATAATATTGAATAATATTGAATAATATTGAATAATATTGAATAAATTATTTGATTTTGCACATTCTTTACAAAAAAACATGCACTTAAACCATTTCGAAATAAAATTTAAATTGTAAATATTTGGTTCTATATACTATACAATAAAAAACAATAAACCCACTAACTCTATAATAAATGTATAGACTATGCATTTAAAAATAGTATAAAAGATTACTTTTGCTTGTGTTTCTATGATGGACTGAAGCCTAATGAAATATTCAGAATATTCAGTAGCTTATATTACCTCAATGTTGACCTCCCAACCAGCGAAAAGCAATGATTCAGCGAATTTTTTAAAAACTTTCAATTTAAAGTGTTAATTCTTTAACCTTACATGGATTAGGTTTGGGGATGGGGGGGGGGGNGGGGGTGGTATGATTTTGCCCTTAGAGTCGAGATAGGGGAATCTGATACATATCACCTGTACAACCTAATATCACCAGTACAACAAATAATGGTATGGTTCAGATAAAAGACTTCAAATAATGGTGTGGTTCAGATAAAAGACTTCAAATAATGGTATGGTTCAGATAAAAAACTTAAAATAATGGCGTGGTTCAGATAAAAAAACTTCAAATAATGGTGTGGTTCAGGTAAAAAAAACTTCAAATAATGGTATGGTTCAGATAAAAAACTTCCAATAATGGTGTGGTTCAGATAAAAACTTCAAATAATGGTGTGGTTCAGATAAAAAACTTCAAATAATGGTGTGGTTCAGATAAAAAACTTCAAATAATGGTATGGTTCACATAAAAAACTTCAAATAATGGTCTGGTTCAGATAAAAAACTTCAAATAATGGTATGGTTCAGATAAAAAACTTCAAATAATGGTGTGGTTCAGATAAAAGACTTAAAATAATGGTGTGGTTCAGATAAAAGACTTCAAATAATGCTGTGGTTCCGATAAAAGGCTTCAAATTATGTTGTGGTTCAGATAAAAAACTTCAAATAATGGTGTGGTTCAGATAAAAAAACTTCAAATAATGGTGTGGTTCAGATAAAAAGTCTTCAAATAATGGTGTGGTTCAGATAAAAAACTTCAAATAATGGTGTGGTTAAGATAAAAATCTTCAAATAATGGTGTGGTTCAGATAAAAAACTTCAAATAATGGTATGGTTCAGATAAAAAACTTCAAATAATGGTGTGGTTCAGATAAAAATCTTCAAATAATGGTGTGGTTCAGATAAAAAAACTTCAAATAATGGTGTGGTTCAGTTGAAAAACTTCAAATTATGGTGTGGTTTAGATAAAAATCTTCAAATAATGGTGTGGTTCAGATAAAAATCTTCAAATAATGGTGTGGTTCAGATAAAAACTTCAACTTCAAATAATGGTATGGTTCAGATAAAAAACTTTAATGGTGTGGTTCAGATAAAAAACTTCAAATAATGGTGTGGTTCAGATAAAAAACTTCTAATAATGGTGTGGTTCAGATAAAAAAACTTCAAATTATGGTGTGGTTCAGTTGAAAAACTTCAAATTATGGTGTGGTTTAGATAAAAATCTTCAAATAATGGTGTGGTTCAGATAAAAATCTTCAAATAATGGTGTGGTTCAGATAAAAACTTCTAATAATGGTGTGGTTCAGATAAAAGGCTTCAAATTATGTTGTGGTTCGGATAAAAAACTTCAAATAATGGTGTGGTTCAATTAAAAAACTTCAAATAATGGTGTGGTTCAGATAAAAAAAACTTCAAATAATGGTGTGGTTCAGATAAAAAACTTCAAATAATGGTGTGGATCGGATAAAAAATCATCAAATAATGGTGTGGTTCAGTTAAAAAACTTCAAATAATGGCGTGGTTCAGATAAAAAAACTTCAAATAATGGTGTGGTTCAGATAAAAAACTTCAAATAATGGTGTGGATCGGATAAAAAATCATCAAATAATGGTGTGGTTCAGTTAAAAAACTTCAAATAATGGCGTGGTTCAGATAAAAAACTTAAAATAATGGTGTGGTTCAGATAAATAACTTCATATAATGGTGTGGTTCAGATAAAAATCTTCAAATAATGGCGTGGTTTAGAAAAAAAACTTCAAATAATAGTGTGGTTCAGATAAAAAAACTTAAAATAATGGTGTGGTTCAGAAAAAAAACTTCAAATAATGGTGTGGTTCAGATAAAAAACTTCAATAATTGTGTGGTTCAGATAAAAAAAATTCAATTAATGGTGTGGTTCAGATAAAAAACTTCAAATAATGGTGTGGTTCAGTTAAATAAAACTTAAAATAATGGTGTGGTTCAGAAAAAAAACTATGAAAGAACGACTTAAATCTTTCAGAGAAAAGAAAAAAACAATCGTTTTTCAAAAGAAACAAAAAATTATCGATTTTGTTGATTATCTGAATCTTTTTAAATAAAACGAACGATTTTAATTAAAGATTTTTTTTAACCCTATTCCGGCTGGGGGGAGGGAGTCATTTTTTCACATAATTCAAAAAGCATGGTCCTGGGACTGTTGAAATTTTCAGACTTTTCCTGAATTTATATAACCTTTAAGTATAAAACCGTACTTTTGTACTAACTGCCTGAATCCTCAGGCACACTGCCTGAATGACTACTTATTCCCGTCAGAAACTAATTCTATGTTTTGAGCCACTTTTAGCTGTCAGATTTGGAAAATGTTTAGCTTTTTGAAAGGCCTGTGACACAAGGATTGCACAAGCTTTAAAAAGAAATTTTTGCCAATTTTTTACAGTTACAACCCGTCAAAAGAAATTTTCACAATTTTCTTGATTATGGAACAGGTTATCATGGGGTTTTTAAAAATGTATATTGTTTTATTTTTTAAACATTTTTTGTTGCAAACATTTTTAATATATATTTGGATTTAAAAAAAAATATAATTTTTGAAATTTGCATTATTTTACAGATTCTAAAATTAGAGCATAATTCTTTCCAATGATGTATCATTTGTCATATTTTGACATCAAAAATGGGAATTAGAGGGGTGGGGTCAAGTTACCCCCCCCCCCATCCCCCCAACATATCCTGGTTTTCAAGTACCCCAACAGGGATCGGGTTAAATACGAACGTTTTCAAATTCGTTCAAAACAACAAACGAAAATGCCCATCTTTACCCCCCTCTCTTTATAAAACTATGCATGGCTAATTAAACAAATAGAGGTGGATATCAATAGAATCTTTGGATTTTGATCAAAGCAGAAAGGAATTGATTCTTTGTCACAAACTCTGATTGGCTAATCCTATCTTTTCAAGTTAATGACGTAAACCTTAGATATTTCTAATTATGAATTCTGTTAGATATAGAATTAAAATCTGAATTATACATAATTTATAATAGATATGTATCACTTAGTTATAAAATATAATAATGCTCTCACCTAATTTCAAAAAATTTATATAAATAAATAATATATATCAGTTTGCAAAGAGACAGGAATAAGAAAATTCGAGTTTGAGCCATGTGTTCATTTTTAAAAAGCACTACCCCCCCCATGTTCACATACAATATAGTAAAGCATTATATAGCATTACCAAGCAACAATTTCTAAACAGCTTTTCACTCAAGCAAACATTGTTTAGCAGGTTTAGGTTAAACAAATAAGCGGAGAAAGTTTAAGTATACTCAACTAATGTTTATTTTATTTTCACAAATTCTTTCGGTTGACATATATATTTTTAATACCTTCAGACCTGGGGGGGGGGGGTATCTAACCCACTGTGCTTTTTGGAATATCTCTAAAAGTGCGGGTTAAGAATTATCTCTGAAAAAGTGTATTTAATCTGTTTTTGCCTAAACTAACCATCGTTTTATTGTTCTAAAAAGTTTCCTCAGTGAGTAGAATGTTTATAAAAATTTATCTTGTCTTCTGTCTGTCTGTTTGTTTGTTTGTTTGTGTTCAATAAACGTCAAAACGGCTGAACCGATCGGGCCAAAATTTTGTGTAGGACATCACGTGACCCCAGGGAAGGTTTATGAATGATCAAAATTAAAAAAATTGTGTTTAAAATTTTTTTATATTTATAAATTTTTTTAAATCTTGAAAATCCGCGAATTTTTTTTTATTAAATCCTCGAAATTTTTTTTTTGTTTTTCAATGTTTACAAGGAGAACAGGTTCACAATTGAAATAGAATATGGGCGCGAAGTAAAAGTCTAGTGTTTATAAAAGAGGGGGGGGGGGGAGAATGGAATGAGGGGGGGTCGTCGATGAAACAATTTTACCCTTTGGTTTAATATTATTATTCATTGTAACAGGGTGAGTCAAAAAAAGTGTGATTTTTTATAAAAATGTGTAAATAAACTGTTTCTATCGAAATCTAAAGTTTTAAAAAGATTGAATCACAGAATCTCATGCAAAATTGTAATTAGAAAATTCACAATTTTCAGTTTTGGTAAAATTTTTACGGAAAAATTGTTTTTTAATGGTTCTTAAGGTTTTAACTGAACAGCATATACTAAATACTTTAGAATTTACTAAGAAGAAAGGAACATAGAGAATTGAAATAACTTTTCCTTAAAAATTAGACCAGAACTAAAAATTACGAACGTTCTTGCAAATTTTCTGTGATTCTATGATTCAATCTTTAGAAAATTTCTTCAGAATTTCTCAGGAATTTCTAGACAAAGAAATTCCTGGTCAGTTAGGTTCCCAAAAAATGAACGGATTGTACATATTTTTTCAAAAATTGTACGGATTGTACATATTTTTCACACACGAGAAGGACGAGGAGGGCAGGAAGATGGAATACCTGGCCAGGAGACAGGCCAGGAATGAGGATGCTCGACAGTACTACATGGACAAGCTGAGATTATTTGTGCAAGCCTACCCCCCCCCCCTGCTAGGAGAAGTTTAGTTGAGTTCAAGAATTCCATGTTGCTAGGATTATATAATGCAGAGCTGAGGAAAACATGCCTGATGTTTATGCCTAAGGAGATTAAGCATAAGAGGGAGATCAAGGCAGTCCTGGACCACCAGTTAGTGAACCTGAGGACGTATAACTTGGATCCCAAGGCTCCAGCCCAGGATATGGCAGGACTACAGAGCACGTACGGGTATGATAAGAGCAAGATGACCAAGGCCAACGAGATGTTGAAGACGGGGCAGGTGCCCATGGACATCAACGCCATGCCAGAGTTGTTGGAGGACATGTCTGATGCTGAGGTTTTGGATGCTGAGGGCAGGATAAATGCCCTGCAGAGCGGAGATATGTGTTATTTTTTGCAAGAAA